TCAGTAAGAGTATGCTCATGAAATTTGGAAATGAGATATACTTAGGAATCACCGTAAGTACAGAAATGTGCTACTTTTGGCCGGGGTAGAGTTAATTTTTTTCACAGTGACTAGAATGGGGCTGTGGTTTGGATTTGTGCTAAGAAGAGTGTTGATAGTGCGGGGAATTTTTAGGTGTTGCTGAGCAGGGCTTGCATGGAGCTGAGACCTTTTCTGTTCCTCACCCCACTCAGTCAGTGAGTTCATGGGAAACTGGGAAGGGACACAGCCTGGACAGCTGGCCCCAACTGACCAAAGCATGTCCCATACTATGTGGCATCGTGATCAGTAAAAAAAGTCAGGGAAAGAAAAAAGAAGGAAGAACAGTTCAGTCATGGTGTTTGTCTTCCCATGCCACTGTTATGTGTGACAGGGCCCTGCTTTTCTGGAGATGGCTGAACACCAGCCTGCCCATGGGAATTCGTGAATGAATTCCTTGTTTTGCTTTGTTTGCTGCACAGCTTTTGCTTCCCCTATTGAACTGTCTGTATATAAACCCACAAACTTTCTCACTTTTACACTTCCAGTTCCACCTTGCTCTTGAGGGAGTGAGGGAGCAGCTGCATGGTGCTTTAGTTGCTGGCTGGGATTAAACCACCACAAGGAAGTATCTCAGGAGATGGATTTCATTTAATGTAGGGAGGCAATAATGTCATTGCGTAAGGCCCGGGTAAAATCTTGTTTGAGGTACTGTGAAAACCTAATCCATTATTCTATAGCTGAGCTAAGGTTGAACTAAGGGAGGGCTAGAGGGAAGTTAGGTTCATCACCAGAGACCTTGAGAGCCTTTCAAAGGAACAGATCTTAGGATGGCTCAGCTTGTTTACTGCAATAAAACAAAACCACAGAGGAGACACAAGTGCTGTCTATAAATATATCAGGAAAGTAAACATGAAGGATGAAAACCATTTAAATGAAGGGAAAAGACACAAGAACAAACAGGTCTGTACTATTCAGTAATAAATCTATCAGGAAACCAGAATAATGTTTCTAGACATTTCTGCAATTGACTAATGAAAGTGCCTTTCCATGGAATTAGTGGGAACAAAAATATTTCTATTTTTAATATGGCACTTGATAAATGTATGAGGTGATTGTATAATAGAGCTTTTTTGAAGTGGCAGGGAACTAGACCCTGTCATTCAGGAGGATCTTCCTGTTCTGTGTTACCATGCCAATTCATAGTACAAACAGCAGAACATTTTGTCCAGATTTATGATTAATAATATGGGAAGGACCTGTCAGTTTTCTCTGAATAGTAGGCAAGGTTCAGAAGTCCTTACAAAGGCAACAGTTAGACTGTGTTACTGTGACTTCAGTAAGGCATATGATGTCAGCATTCTATAGAAAATAATACAAAGAAGGAAATAAGCAAAAGAACTTTTAAGTGAGATGAAAAAAGCACAGGTAAGTTGCAGATAGTTCTTCAAGGATCAAGTCACAGGCCCAGAGCCCTCCTTGGATATCAGTACAGGTATGTATCAAATGACACCCTGGTTTTGTGCCGTGATCTGCTTTTGTGGTACACAGGGTTTCAGTTTAGTCCTTAGAACTGTTAGAGCATCCTGGTCTGAAGCTGGTCCATTTAGCAGAGCCATAAATTCAGTGTGCTGCACTTCCTTAACACACAGCAGGAGATTAACATGTTAATGTGCAGACTGGCTCAGAGATGCCAGCAGAGCTACTAACCAGTGTTAATTCATCCCATGTAATTAATCCACAACTTGACCTCAAGAAACAGAAATAAAGAAGAGCTGGTCTCCTGTATGTTATGAGTTGAAGATGTTAAATTTATTGATGTAACACTAGATTTGTTTCAAGAGAGAGCAAGTTTCTGCCAACAAGCTCATGCCAGCAGGGAATTAAGCAACATTTCATTTGAAATGTGGCACTATGTGTTTTCTGGAACCTTTTATAACATTAAGTGGCTCATCACACATACATGATGCTAAGAATTACTGAAACAGAATCATTAAACACTCTGAAGTTTGAGGATATTTAGATGTTTCATTGTCAATACCTAACTTCAAAAATATATCTGGTCTCCTGAAGAGAGTCTGTTTGCCAGGGCAGGACTGATTCTATCACCTTTGTCCCCTGTTTGCATTGGGTGTGTCATACTTGACCTTCAGTAACAGGTCTGGGAGCACTTCAGCGTCAAGCCTGATGGCAGAACATCACTCTGTCATTTTTTTATTTCAGAAGCTGCTAATCAGTGATGCAGAGGGTGACTCAATTCTTTATCCTCAGTGAATCAATCCTGTTTACGTACAAGTGTGCCCATGTCACAGAGATATATATAATTCAGTCACAAAAGGCTGGTAGCATTTTAAAGGTTTCCAAACTGATTTATACATAGCCAATGCATATTCTGAGTTTCGTGATAAATAATTCTTCAGTTCCTGCTCTTTCCTTCTTACTGTGTACTTCACGTATTTGTGTACGATTGCTTGAAAATCACAAGGGTACAGCTACCTCGAATCATAGTTTTACCCTTCTCTTTTCTCTCATGGTACAAATTACTAAGTAGTGTACTGTCATCAATTCTAACAAGAAGAAGCCATAAAATCTCTTCCCCCAACAATTTTAAAACTTTCACCAGCAATTTTTTGAAATTTGTGCTATATGTGGTGTTTTTCTCAGTCTAGAAAAGAACTAACTTCTATGGAAATATGTAGAAATTAAGCTGAAATATTTTAGCAATACAACTTTATTTAAAGTAGAGTCAAAATAATAAAAAAACAAAAGTCAATTTTTCTTTCCTTGCCTTTCTGAACGTGCACACAGCTGGTAAGTTGGCATAATGGTCTTTCTAATTGACAGAAGTAATTTCACCAACATACCCGAGGTCCAAATATTGTAAAATATTGATGTATTAATTTTACACTTTTCTAGAGAAAGATAAAGAGATTTAACCAATACCAAAGATATGCTCTTCAGTACAATAAAGTCCCACTAGATGGAAGCACCTCAGCTTCCACAATAGCAGGAGTAAGTGGAAGTACAGTAGTTTAAAACACATGCTATGGAAAGGTATAAATGTTGGAAGAATTTTGAGGGAAACGTTTTATTTTGCCCAGATTCATGTATCAACTGAAAAAAATAGACGCTTTTACTATGAGCCATATGAGCTAATAAAACTCCATGTCAAGCAACTGTGCTGGAGTCCTTGGGTTTACATGTAGTGTATGCTGTAGCTTTGGAATTTTTTTGGAAGTCCTGCAGAATTAAGAACACAACACAGTTTTTCTCTAAATCCCATTTATATTTAGTCATTAGCTTAAAAAAATCTTTCCAAAGCACATGGATAGGTTCTCTGCTTTAAGGACTTTCCCCTTCAGCCCAAGCTTTTACATAGCCTTCAGGTATGTTAGATTTTACAAAGGCGGTCACAGATTGATTTTTCTTGACTTTCCTTTTCTTGTTCTGAAATAGAAATATTAATGACTAACTTAATAAACATGATCAGTGACTGTCTTCATGATGCTTCCATCCTACAAACTTCATGTAACATTTCACAGGATTATTAATTGCCAGTAATTTTTATCTCTGCCAACTTGAATTCATGGGCTCATCCTTGTTCCAGATGCCATTCTCCCACAGGTCATGATCCTTCAGTGCATGACTGACAAAGTGGGTAACATCAGAAAGGAAAATAAAATACAGAAATCAGCCTTCAGAATATTTTTCACTTAGAGATGTGATTTTTTTTAGATACTATCAATGAATTTTCATGTAGATTCCTAAGAGAACATTGTTGACTAGGTGGCATTTTAAAAAGAGGTATTTTTATTTCAAAGGATTTTCCCAACAAAAATCTATTCCTTAGCATTTTAATTTCTATAGGTGTGTTCTGTGAGTACCTTAAAAATGGTGGATTGAACTAGAAAAAGGAAAAGCAAGAGGAGAGTGATAAAAATAAATCTGTAGGATGAAGAAATATGATCAAAGGCTGCCTTCAGTGGCTGTTGGAGTAGAAGGAAATCACTGTGTTTGCACCAGTATCCTGTGCTATTACACCTAGATGTTTTAAGCGGGAATGAAATGAGAAGGGATTGATGCCACAGCCAAGCAGCTGTGGAGCTACCCACCTCTTTACATGCCTTTAAATTCCTTTGAAATTTTGGCTGTTTCACTATGAGATTAACAACACTAATAAATTCGATAGTGCATGAAGCAAACAGAAAGGGAAAATTTTCTGAACTTGAAAACTTACTGAATGCTGTTTTTTATTAGTGATACAAAGGAGATCACTTAAAGGTAGGTTCCTACTGAGGTCTTTCTAATGCTTTTATTTCTTTTTTATGAACACTGCCGTAGAATTTCAAGGAACAATTACATCTAATTGGGCTTTAGCTCCTTTTAATGATACGAGTTCAGAGATAAGCTAACTGAATATTCCAGTCTTTCAGATAGTTCCTTCTGTTTAGTTGTGTAGGTTCAAACTTGGCTTACCTTTTGAAGAATGATTTTGAAACAGTGTTGACATAGCTTAGCTGGTAAGGCTTCCAGAGGATTGTGAACGCTGTCATTTCAGAGCAAATTTGTATTTGTGCTTAAGCACTTTATATATTGGTTTTTAGACAGAAAATACTACATTTCTACTTGAAAAAACTGTCTGACTGTTCCTGTCATGTTGAGTTCCACCAAAGTGTGTTGTGAAATCCTAACAGACCCAACTTACCACATATCTGTTCTTTTTCATTACATTGAACATTGTCCCTGCATGTTCTGGTGGGCAAACAGGAACATGCATGGAAACCTAGGTTTGTGAATGGGAGTTTATTAAATGAGAGTGTTCATGTTCCTGATTAGGAGAAAGATTTGCTACCATTGTGTTTTCCTCCCCCTGACAGCCCTCTGCCCCTCCTCTTCCCTCTCCCAAGACACCCCCACCCCTGAAGGCAGCCTCTCCAGGTGAGGTCCCAGCCCAGCCTGGGCTGACACTGGGTGCTGCTGCAGAAAGAGGTGGGGCTGCCACAGCTCCCTCCACCCTTCCTCCCACCTGAGTTCAGTTGCTGCTGCTGCTGCTGCTTTGCCAGTGGCAGAGTCGTCCCTGTGCACTGTAACCTTGGCATCCTCGGAGCATCCAGCAGCTGCCAGGCACTTGCAGCCCTCTCATGAATGTCTTTCTTTTTCTCCAAGTGGCTGACTTCTGTTTTTCAAGGCTACTGTTTTCCATCTCCTCGCTTAAATACTGTAAGTACAACTTCTGCTGTGGCTCTTTTGTTACTGCCTTTGTGAAATTCCTCTCTCTTGTACTGAATAGTGAGAGTTACTCATTTAAAGTCTCTGAGGTTTGCTGTGGTCTCTGCTCCTGTTTGTGCTGTTCAAATGAGCCCTTAGTATTTCAGTTTTTAGATGGATTAAAACATGAAATTAGAACAACTCCAAGTGTTGGTGGTTTCCTGGCTGCCGTTTTCCTACTTTGTAGGAAATTGCCGACGTGTCCTTCCTCTGAATGCTGGTGCCCAGTGAAGTGGAAATGAGAAGAGAAGCCTTTCCATCCCTACTTGTTTGCTGGAACCAGTGTTCTAAGAACCCAAAGAAGAGAAACTAATGCATGGTGATAAACTCTCAGGATGCTGAGGCAGGTAATCCTGCCACCTGCTGAAATGTATCTGGCCTGGGGTTTTAGGAAGGAGCTAGGCTGGAAAGTATCGGTCTGGCTCAGTTCCTTGGGTGCTGAAGCTGAAGTAAAGGAATACATGACTAGGGACCTCAGTTGGCTGCAGCAGTGTGATTACACATTCAAACAAAAAATATCATCCCAAGACCCTGAGGCTACAGCAGAAAGGCCTATTCCTAGCTGTTCTAGTTCCTGACCAAGTTTGGCGTGACTGTGAACTCCAAGGTGTCACCCCAACTCTGTATTCTTACAGACATTCCATATAAATGTTGTATGATCTTTGGGTTATTCTCTCTTTAATTGCATCACTAGGAGTTGCAGAAGGGATATCAGTGTGTTAGCACTTGGAAGATATCACAGACTAACTTTTAATATTGACAGTGCCCAGAGGTATTTTGAGTGGAAGAACACACTTGCAATTCTGGCCAAATTCCCAGTAAAATTTGCACAGCTGCCCAAAATGTTGCCTTTTTTTCTGTACAAAATCTCACATAATTTTCATAATTATATTTTACATCCTGAATTGGAAACTGTGACAATAAGCATGTCACCAGCTATTTGAAATGGAATTGATTTAGGATACCAAAATAAGGAGCACTGTCTGAAAGTTTTGACTTTTTTTTCCTCAGACTTCTTTCTATGCTTGTCTTTTCTGTTTGATTGGTTTCCTCTTTATGTTTATTCTCATGTTCCACTGCACTTTATAAAGATAGAAAGGGCTGATAAAAAGATTATGAGGTGTTCTAGTGCTGTTCTGTCTAAACTTGATTCAAGGATATAGAATACACATCATAGGAAGCCTGCATTTTTCCCAGGGGGAATCTCTCTATAGTAAAGAATACATATTCTGTAGCATTTGAAATTCTCATTGTGCCTCCTGTATTATTGCTCTTCCCATCTCCAATTCTCTGGATAGTTTCAGTTTTGCATATATACTAGAAATAATAATGCCAAATGATGACAAAATTTTACTTAATTTTCTAATATAAGCCAGAAAGGAATTTTCTGTCTTGCAACAGTTTCTGAATGAGTTCATAACATGCCTACATTCACCCAATACAGTGTACAGTCTGATTTACCATTCCTTCATTACCATCTTTCTGAGTCAGACTTTCCATGAAAGACTGCCTGTTTATAATTGTTTGTTTGCAGTAACTTAAAATAGCGTACCACTAGGACTCTAAGCATCTGCTATTAACCTGATTTTACTGACAATCCAAGCACAGGAGGTTAAGGAAAGAAATGTTGGTCTCAAGGAGTAGTTCTGACATTGCCTATGGTTACTTCAAACATTTTGCTTCAGGTTTTCATGTTTGAAATGGCATTAACAATTTCTAGGTGCAAATCTAGCTTTCAGAATTAGGGTTCATTGACTGGTATTTATTCCATGGTTTGGAAAAGTATTTTTCTGAATATATGTATAAATTATCTCCTGGGGTACCCATGAGACTTATGTGACAATGAACTATGTAACGTCAGAATCACTGTGATTTTATGCACTTCTTTTCAGGTATCTTCTCGAAGTATGGGATTTGTATGGAAACGATGGTGGTATCTTCAGCTGGGCTGTATATTGATAATGAATTTGGTTTATGCCAATCTAGAGTATCAAAAAGAAACTCCTCCAAGTCTGCGTGAGATTGACCATCAGTGCTGGGAGGCATCATCCCATGGGCTGGTGGAAATGAAGAAACTCAAGGTAGCAGATACAGTCATTGCTCTCTGGGACTTCATGATGTTCCTAAAGGAATCCCCTAAGCCCAAGCACAATGAACTCTTCAATGATTTAGCCCAGAACTTCTGGGATATGTATGTGGACTGTGTGCTCTCAAGATCCCATGGAATGGGCAGAAGACAATTAACATCTCCCAAATATTCTTCCACATACTCACACAGAACTTTAGAAGGTAACTATAGGATATGGTACTAACATTAAACTGAAACAATCCTCACCCTTCATTGTTTAGACAACTCAGTATACTAATTCCCAATTTTCTGTCTTTGCATGTCAAAAGTGTTTGCATCTTTCAATGGTAGCTACTTTTACAATACATGAGACACTAGTAGTTAGGGTATTACATTTCTACAGTTAATGAAGTGTAAAAAATGCTGGGTGTGCATGTGGAAATGTGTGGAAAAAGATACCGCATTCTCTGTTTATCACTGTGTGCATAAAAATGACAATACATTAATAAAGTAATTTCAATACTGAAAGTCTCCTGATATCAGGAGTTCAGTCTCATCTTTGGGGAACCATCATTCTGCAGAAGGGAAGCTCAAATCCCTGACAGTTTGAGCCCTATTCTTCCTACTAAAACTGCTGACATATAATGTGATGTCATGGTCACTGTGACTCACGAAACAGTGACAGGTTCTGGTCACCATGATCGGGTTTGACTCTGAAGTGATGTAGGTGACTTTACATCTTACTAATCAGTCCTAGGTCTGTTGCCCCTGTTCCTCCTCAGCAACAGGCTTTTTTCTGATGTACCCTGTCAGATGATTCAGGTTCTCAGAATGAACATGAAGATTATTTAATCATATAATTTCTAACATCTCACTTGGACAATAACTACCTGTCTTTCATAATCTTGCAGGGTCTGCTTTCACCAATCCATTTTAGGCCAAAAGGGGAGAAGATGAAGATACTTAAACAAGGCAACATCAAAATGAAGGAGCACAAAATCACAATATATATTGTAGGTGTTTGGACAAATTATTTGGCATAGTTCAATCTCTTTTTATTTCTTCTTTCTTTTTGTATAAAGTACTAAATCGCTCCTAAACTGAAAAGTACATGAACCCCCAGACTGGCACTTTTGCTTTCCTGTCTTGCAGACTACCAAGCTTGCCTTTTCCTCACTGCATGTGTGGATGTGTTTGGAGTCAGCACCTCTGCTTTCCCATGTAAACGTTAAAGTCTGGATGTGCCGTATTTTTGTAGTCTTGTCTTTTCCAATAATTCTCTTTTTAAAAGTTAATCCTCATGGAAACCCAATATATTTTTATACATTATCCAACAGAGGAAATGTAAACAAATGTATTTTGTACATTGTCTTGTACATACCATTAAGAACTGCCAAAAAAAGAAAGAGGTGAGACATTAAGCTGAAGGGGAGGATTATGCTTATTGTAATGTCCTGTGCAATCTAGACTTTGTATTTTATCATTGCTTAGTCTAAGCTATGGATTAATTAAAGTATTTTTCTAAGCAGCAAGGTCTGAATAGCAGTAGTTTTCTTGTCTATTACCATGTTATTTGGTAAGCCACCACTACGTGACATGAAGCACAGTGCTTTACAAAAGACTGCAAATAAGGTGATGCAGTCCATGCCTGTCATTGCAGGCAACATTGCAGTTGAGATGAGACCAAGTGGCTCTAAAGAGGGACAGACTGACTGGACTACTGCTCTCAGTATAAACCATTGAGCATGGAGATTAACTGCCTCCTTAATCCAATTCTTCTGAGCATAAAAAACCTGAGAAATGCTTACTGTTCTCTGCTTTACTCCTTGGGCAATGAAGCTTCAGTCCCTGTTGTGTTTTAGCCTTTTATGAGATTACAAGTGGTTTTAATAATTTTAGGAAATAGTACTCATAGTAAACCTTCATGAGTAACAAGAAATCCATCCCATATAATGCCTAGCTCATACATAGTTTGTAAAATATCCAACAAGTCTCACAGATTTGTAAATGTTCATTTAGGTAAATACAATATTTAATTTATAAAATATGTCTCCTACAGTATTCTGGAGAGGGTACAAAGTAGTGAGAGATTTTTCTGGCCCATGAACATCACTTTAGGTTGCTGATAGAAATAATATTGTTGAACAAATGGAATTATTACACACCCAAACACAGCAGCTTCAGAAATTGATACATTATGATGAGCAGCAGTTTGAGAGCCATCATCGAACCTGCCCCAGCAATATCCAGTTTATAAAGTGTACTGCATTGCATTTGCAACAAATATTTTAACTGGCATAAATCATATTAAAAATGCCCTTACATTTTACTTACATTGATCACCTACAGAAGAGTCAAAGTATAATAACATTTCAAAGGGATTGTTTCCTCTATGAGTGGTCTTTTAATTGAATGCCAGAGCAAGGTATCCTATGCAGTTTTAAAAGCTTCATCCTTCTTCAGGCAGTAAGTCTGTTTTAATCAGTTTTCTATAAGACACAAAAGTGCTTAGCATCCACTGTAATTGTTTCCAGAATGTTTGAACAATCAATTGCTATGGTCACCCTGCAGTGTCTGCCAATGGGGCAGGTGATTATGAGCCCCAGATACACAGCAGCAGAACAAATTCCAGCTGGACATTCTATGGTGTACATCTATAAGAGCTGTGGAAAGCCACAGCTGACTACTCCTGGGATGGCAGCATGAGGGATTAACAGTGAATGGGATGCTGTTTTCTTCCACCAGTACCTCTTCTTTTTCCACCCCTGGGTTACAGCAGGGACAGCAAGCCCAGTTTCCTGGGTGTTGTATTTTTCCCCCTGCAACAGCCAAACACATGGCTGTCTGGCAAAATCAAATGCTGCTTGTGCTGCTGTGAGTCTTGTGTTAGTACTGATTTATGAAGGATAAATGGAAGTATTTGGGGAAATTCTGTCTCCTTAATTCTCCGGTCATTATTAATTAACATTAATGTTCAATTAACAAGTGCATTTGCAGCTGATCATTTGAAGTCAGGGTGTCTGTAGCAGAAACAATACAGTTGTGGGAGAATGCAGTGGGCCTCACTTTGTGCCTGATTTAAAGTTTTTTGCGTAAGTAAAACTGATTTCCAATTAAAGGTTCTTTAGCCATACCTTGGCTACAGTGTATTGCTGTAGCTTTGGCTCAGAAATCGGAAAGACTTACATAAGTCCTCTACATTTGTTCTTAGTGGGCCTTTGCCTTGCTGCCAGTAGTAATGAGTCACCTACACATTCACGTATGTGCATGTAAAAACGCATGTGAATACCCCTCCAAATGCCACAGTCTTTGGTCTCCTAGTAAAATATGTATAGTTTGGTTTTAACTGTGAAAAGACAACAGACCATACATTCTCTAAACCAGTAATAAAGCAGCAAGGCTGTCAGGGAAATACAAACATAAAAAACTGAGCAAGATGACTTGACACAGAAGACTTTAGTGAGAGAATCTTTATATACCTTGGCTAACCTTTCTTGTAGGCAGGCAAGAAATACACAAACAGGGCTAGTTCAATAAAGCAAACTTTATACAGATAGTTTTGGGAAAAAGTCATCATGAAATTAGATTATAATTAAATATTATCCGTCAGCAAAAGGTCAGCATAAAAATTTAAATTAAATTAGCACAGCTCAATTTAATTTCTTTAGCTTTAAGTATTAGATGACTTTCCTACTGTACAATGTGATAACTTTCTCACTCAGCAAAGGTTTAACAGACCTGCCCATAAGAAAAATCCTTCTCATCTTTGGAAAACACACATGTAGCAATTTTTCTAAACCTCAAATACCGTTTTTCATATGTATGTTTTATTTTATTATTTTCTTAGGGTTCTTCTTTTCATAGAATTTAGGTAGTCAATTTTGAAACAAAACTATTTGCCTTTATTTTTAATGCCACCAGTGCTATATTTGTCTTGTTATGTGACAAACATTTTTAAAATACAATTATACACATACCTATCTCATCCCTCTTTCAAGAAGTAAAAAAAGGGAGTTGGAATATGTTTAGCTCAAATTTATTTCCTTTTTTTCAAGCTGGCAGTTAAAAAAGCAAGAGTTTGTGCTTTTCTCAAGATGTTGCTGACAGGCAAAAAAGACAGACTAACTGCCAGTTTGCATGTCACAGCATAAAATCTTGCAATGTCACAGAAATTTATGCCATAGCACTGGATAACAACTGGTTTTAAAATGAAGAGCCTCAGGGAATCTTGTGCTATTGTAATGTAGCGAATTCTGGCACTGACCAAATTAAAAAAGAAAATAGCTCAGAAATTGAGTCATCTACACAAAAGTTTGCTGCTCAGCAGTTTGTGTAGTTATTCTAAAGGTGCCACAGTGGAAGAAGATGAGTTCTTTTTGGAGACAATAGGAATAATAGCCCAACAATTATTAGATTAGTAAGATCAGTTAAAGAGCTGTGAGCAATCCAAATGGAGAAGGATGTTGCAGCAGGTCTCTCCAATGGGCTGGGAGAAACTGTTGGCATAAACAAGCTCCTTGGTGAGTGTCTAGATGAAAACTGGGATGTCAGAAGTCCTGATGCTAAAAGTGGCAATTCAAGAAACAAAACGAGCTTGGACAAAAACTATGTGGGCATGGTATTCAGAAAAATGAAGAATCAAATGTGCTTATGTTAAGATTTATCACCCTGCTCAATGAAATATTTAAACTGCAATATATGGAATATGTCAACGAGAGATGGGAATGAAAACTGGACCTGCTGACAACTGGGTATTACCACACAAAGTTACTAGACTAACATACCTTTGTACCATACTTTACAGGGGACTTTATTAATAAAACATTCCCACATTATATCAATTAAGGGAAAATATAATTTTACTCTTACGATGTTTTAAGCAATTTTTCAAATAATTAAAACCAGATTTTATCTTGTATCTACATATAGGTAATAACATTAATATAGCACTCTTAGGAACAGCATCTATTCTACAGATACTGATTTTTTCTTTACCGAGTCCAATGTTTTATCTCTTTTGATCTTTTTTAAGGCTCCTTTACAAACAGAGGACTTTCTACAAGCATGGTCTGTATCAGCCAGTGGCCCTCCACCGTGCTGACGAGGAGCTCTTTGCACAGTTACAAAGCGACCAGGTCCAACCTGAAATACAAAATAAATACATTGCATGGCTTTCATGCTAGCATTTAAAATGAGAGGAGAGTTAAATCATGAACTCCCTTTTGAAAATATTATTCACTTGGTGGAGATGCCTGCTGAGGTTTCTGACGGCCACTAAAACTATCCTTTATATGAAATTTACAATTTGTTCCCATTAATACAAAAGAAAGAAGTGTTTTTTCAGAGGGTACTTTTATGTGCTCTGCTTTTCTGCCTTCATGTCTGATTTATGAATTGCGAAAAAGAAAATCAAGCCTTGATCCAATAAAAGCTTGCTGTACCGTGTTATTTGGATTTGTATAGAATGTCAGCCACAGCTTGTGACCTCAGAATTTCACTATACATTATTACTTATTACTTCAAATTTAAAAAAAACCAAAAAAAACCCAAAAAAACCCAAAAAACTACTGCTCCAGTAAAGCTCCAAGACTGAAAGACACATACCCTTTCCAGATTCATTACTACTCTTTATATGGAATAGGTTGGGGTCTTGGAATGAATACACCTGAGTGACAGCTCTGAGTAACCTCCTAAAAAATTGCAACTCCTTGAGTGCTTGTGGCTCACACGTTTGATTACTTGACCTTGAATGGTTTGCAACAACCATTATAGCTTAATCTTCAGTTCTCCCTGGTGAGGGTGTTTGGCAGAGAGGAGGGAAGAAGAGTGTTGCATTAAAAAAATTTCCAGCCATGTCTATCATTTGTGATTCTCCTAAGCAATGTACCTGAGGAATGTTATATGATGTTGCTGATACATTTGTTTTCTCAATACACCTATTGTGCAAAATGGACTAACCTTTTCCTTGTTTTTATCTACAATTATTGAAATATTGGTTGTAGAACCATGAAGGTATTTTCTTGTTAAATCCTCTCCCTCTAAGATATGAACATTCTTGGCTTGAGATTCAATCCCTTAAAATAAAATCTAACAACGTATTTCTCTCCACTAACAATTTCCAGATTACTCATGCTTATATCAACATTTTTCAGATACTTTCTGTAAAATATTGCTGTTTAACAGTCTCACTGTTTATGCAAGTACCTAAATAATTGTTCCAGACCACTTCATCTTGCATTTACAGATGTGTCCCTCCATATCTTTCTGAAGTTTAAGATAATGTGGGAAAAATCCTAGTCCATCATCCTGAGACAATCCCCTTGCTTTCTATTAGGCTCCTTACTTCTCCATCACATCAAACATGAACTTTCTCTTTTCTTTTTCAAGTTGCAGCTACCTTAGTTGTTATTATTCATTCATGCCAGGGAGCCCAAAATAGAACATCTTGCCTTCATACAAGTTTGAAAACAGCACCTCATGTTTATTCCTTTTCATTTTTCCTCACATGCAAGAATAACTTATAAGCAACCAAGAAACTATCCCCCTTAAGTCCTCCTTTGTGGGGGCCAGGGATAGCTGCGATGCTTACACAGAAATAATCCAGTTAGCTCGAAAACAGTTATTTGCTAGACTGAGGATTCTCCCATGTTTTGTCAAAAGTCAATGTCTAAATATGCTTTTAGGTGTGAATTAGATCTTAACAAAGGCTTTTTATTTTCTCACACTTCAATTAACTGATAGAAATGAGAACAAAATGTTTTCTGCAGATGCAACAAGTGGCTTATCTGCAGACAGTCTGGGACATGTTCCTGATAAAGGACATCTCTAGGGATATATCAAAAATAGCACAGATGTACTTAACAATGAAAGGAGGAGGTCTTGACCTCAGCAAGGTTTTCATGAATGGCTCTCTCACAACAGGTACATGTCACATAGCATAGGGTCCATCTTGCCCACGCCTTTTCAGAGTAATTTGCAGATCTGAATCTCATTTTGGCCAAGTGCATGTCTAAGGCTATGTCAGAACGGAAGTGGCAATTTACAGAAGATACAGATTCTTTCTTATGTACTTGAAGCTTGTCAACATAAACATTATTAAAGAAAGTGTAAGCAGCAGCATGTATAGAGCCAGAACAAACCCCATACCACTCAACTATTAATGAAAATAAAACACTGTTATTAAGGATTACTTACTGTTATATGGAGGTTTTTAATATCAGTAGAATAGTCTGGTCCATTTTGAATCTTTGCTTTCAATCTGGAAGTCTCTATTAATGTTTCCTGGAGCCTTTTTGCTTTCTAAAGATAGTCAGAAAAAAGGTAAAATTGTTTTAATCTGCATTAATTGTGTCATTTGCACTCATCTGAAAATATATAAACAACATGACAAAATAAGTAAGGTTATAATTCTATTTGCCTTTAATTGTAGGTATCCTCCCCCGTTTTTTGACTCTTTTGACTCTGTACTGAACACCCAAAACCAGAATAAATGGACGAGGTCCTGCAAGGGTGGGAAGGGGATCCCTGCTCGCTGTGACCTGCGGGCTGTGTTCTGTGCAAACCAGCCCTGGGTGCTGTGAGCTTTCATGGCCACAAGAGCACACTGCTGCCTCACGGTCAGCTTTCATCCCACACCGAGCACACAGCTGCCTCTCAGACAGACCCAGCTGTACTGAGGCATCTCAACACAATCCCAATACATCCCAAGTGAAAGACCTGACATTTTCTTTTCCTGAACTCCATGAGCTTTTGGTCCGCCCATCGGTCCAGCTTCTGAATAGCAACCCTACCTCCCAGCATATGGATTGCTTCCTCCAGCTCAGTGCCATAGAATTGCAGAATCACAGAATGATTTGGGTTGGAAGTGATCTGAAAGTTTATCTAGTTCCAACTCCCATGCTGTGGGCAGGGACACCAGGTTGCTCAGAGCCCCGTCCAGCCTGGCCTCAAACACTTCCAGGGAACAGGTACTCACACCTTGAACTTGATGAGGATGGATACTGATCCAATATCCAAATCACTAATGAGAATGTTAAATCAACACTATATTATCAACCCTATAATTAACTCAGAGGAATATCACTTAAACCTGACCACGAGTTGAACTTCAATCACTGACCACTGTCCTTTAGAGCCCATCAGTCCAGCCAGTTTTTCCCACAGCTTGTAGTCAACCTGAGTGTAATCTAGTCCATATATCCCCATTTTGACTACAAGAATGCAATGCAGGACCATGCTGAAAACCTTGTTAAAGCCAAGGGAATAGGTATCCCCATTCCTCTTTTTCTAGAGCAAATAATTTTATCACAGAAGGCAATTATGTTGGCAAGGCATGATTTGTCCTTGGTAAGTTCATGACAGTCTATATCAATCTCCTTTCCCCTCAACTGCTTCCCAGGGACTCAGTTAAAGCTAATGAGTCTGTATTTCTTCAGGTTCCTTTTTTGTCCCTTTTTCATTTCTAATTCTAGCGTACATCTTTCCAAAGGCCAGGGAGACACTTGTATAGAAAGAAAATTTTTCTCCTCTGCAAGTCCTTTGGGAAATGAAGAAAAATTAAATTTAGCTGCCAAAGTTTTTCTTTTAAGTCTGATTTCATTCATTTTCCAACTTAGTCTGGTTGCCAAACCAGGACTCCAATATTTTTATGTTCTTTTGGGAAGGTGCAAATATTGCTAGAAGAAACTCCTTTCATCATAAAATATTTCCCATCTTGAAAGATGTTTGCTGTACCAAAAAAAGAGAATGAAGAAATAGAAAAAATAAAGTAAGAATGAACAGAAGTGTAATTTCAATGCTTTTAGAAGAAATACATGTATATACACCCGCTCCTCAACTGCAAGTGACAATGTTCATCTCCAATTTGTGATTGTAGTCAGAAGAATCAAAGATTGTATAACTTTTCCAATACATCTTAGGGTTACTTCTTCTATATCTGTGTGAATATGAAATTTTCTATCACTTTTACTTGAATATCCTTATAATTCATTACAAAATGTGTTTGGAACTTCACAGTTATAACTACACCACGATTGTAAATTTTTTGCTCCATCAGGTTTCTTACCTTCAATGCCTCATAGTTTGATGTCCGAGTCAAGAAATTTTCCCAGGATTCCTTTATCACTTCTCTCTGTATATGGGCATCTTTGATCTGTAATAGAAACAAGATTTTCAGCATGCAACACAATCCTATTCTCATATCAGATCTCTTCTGATTTCATAGCTTGTGCCATTTGAAAAGAATGTTCACCTATGCCCCTTTGGCTACCTTAGCTCATCCTTCTCACCTGAGATTGGATGATAAAGTTGTAGTAAAATATCTGCCCTTTAAAAACTTTATTTATGCACTTCCCTTTAAAACAAAGAGAGGCTTACTTTGTGCAAACTAATTTTCCTCTCTTCCAACACATATGTTGGATGAAGCCCAGCTCATCCAGGAATACTTTCTGTATATTCTTACCCTCAAATGCCAAATAAAAGAGATAGAATCAGTTCAGGTGACAAAATTGCAGTCATCATAATGCAGGACAATCCCTCAAAACCACTAGCATGATATTTCAGACAACTGGACCAACTGATCTTACTTCTCAGAAAGCAGGAGAGGGTGAGACAATAGATATGCAAAACCACAAAATATTTGCCTTATAACCAAAGCTGGAAAATGTTTATACCTTCTCATTCTCAGCATGCTGGGAAGCACAAAGCTTATTTTTCTGAAGTAATAAAGGTCTGTGAATATTCAGCAAGGAAGCTTATTATAGAGACTTCTACTTCCTCTTAAGAAGCAGGTGTAGGTGTAATAGGTACTTTGTATTGTTATCTGCTACAGATGAACACGGACACAACTCTATAGTAAAATAATGATCATTTCTCATTACCCCATTGCTGATGCATCACTGATGATACTGCTTAACTTTTTTCATGTTGCTCTCTAAATACTGTGGAAATTACACAAGCTGGGAAGACTGAGGTTAACCTAGTTTAATTTAAAATTTTGCTGATGAAACAGATTAAAACTTTTCAAGCAGTGTACACGTACAGGATTCTCAACATCATATACAGTAAGAAAATCTGCACATAAATGGACAAAAAAGCTTAGGTGAGCTTTCTTTATTTAAATACTCCTTTGTCTTACTTCTTTGTAAATTTTTTTCTCTTCCTGTATTTCGTCATGGTGTTGTTTTTCAAGTATTTCATGCTGCAGAACAGCAACCCTTTCCCCAGTAGTTTCTGATGCCTCTGAAGTGAATTTCAAGATTGTCATGTCAGGTGTAACAGGCCTGAATTCTTCTTTTAGTTCTTTACGTATTTCACTCCAAACCTCTCCAATCTGTGTGTGAAACGTGCACCATATGATTCAGTATTTATCTCATTCTTCAGTTCCATTTATTCAAAATAAAATAAAGCAACCATAATCTCTCCTTATTGTTGTTTGACTTCTCAGAATTTTATGCAAGGTTAGACTGCACTAATACCATGCCAGATTCATTCATGATAAGCCTCCCTAAGCCTTCCCGTGTCTTGATTCAAAGAGGAGTAATAAGAATGCTGACAACTACAGAAATTTAGAAGAAATAGCTTCCAGACACCAAATTACAATAGTGAAGTGTTAAGTTCTACTGCCTACTTCTTAAAATCTCAAATTGCAGACATTATTAAACTGCAACACGAGCCATCAATGGAAACTGGAATTATCAACCAAAGACTGAGTCTTGCTAATTCCTGAACACTGCAAGCTCTCACAGACTTCGTTCCTAAATATAAATTTATCATAAACTAAAGTGTCTTTTGAGCAAGATGGCTCTCACAAAGCTTGTTACCCTGCTGTAGTTTCCTATAGGCACAGCATTCTTAACTTTACACAGGATGGATGGATGGATGGATGGATGGATGGATGGATGGATGGATGGATGGATACTGCATGTGGGGACAAAGATCAGAAATCACAGAAGAACCTTTATAAGAATGTGTTTTTAATGTAATTTTTAATAGTGTCCCCTTAAACTGACCTTACTGCACAGGGACAGAGTCCTGCTCTGCAGTCCTTCCCCAGTTTCTTACTCCTGGCACATTCCTGTCTTGATCTGGCAAACAGTTAAAACTATTTTTTTTCGAGTTATTTATAACTAGCATTAGTTTCTAGTTTTATTTGGTCACAAACATTTGTAGCAGTATGAAGCAAGAACATGGGGACTGATGCAGTGTTGGAAGCGGCATTGTTTCTTTTGCTGGTGAATACTGGCTTTCACTATGTGAAATTATAGGTGACTTGTGACATAGGGGACAGCTTTTGAAGGGTTATTTGTTTGTTGTGTCCTGAGATATACTTGCTGTTTTTGGGAATGCAGGTACAATAGTATATTTGCTTGAACTATACTCACTTTAAAGTCAAGATAATGTTGTATAATAGCAAGTGTAACAAAATCCTTAGTAGATAAGCCAGGTAAATTTTCAAAACCTAGAAGAATATTAATCACATCAGTATGATGAATTTCTCTAAAAATATAATATTCTAAAAAAAGACATCTTAATTTGTCATATAAACACAGGGAAAATCTTTATCACATATACATGAGGTACTCACTCTTGATCCTGAGCAGGCTTTTGCTGATAAAAACCCCGTTTCTCCACAATACATTCTCACTGTACTAAAATCCTTACTTATGAATGGCTCTGTCAGCCTTCCAATCACTTGGCAGGCCAGGATGCTACACTTTTGTGGTAAGGGTTTGAGTTTTGTTAAGGCAGACAGTTGAGTCTACAGATCACAGGTTCTAGAGCAGCAGTTCAGCACATAAACAGTTTGATTTAACTGTGCAGTAGCCAACAGGAAAATTATACCAGTGCTTTGCTCCAAAGCTGTCTAGTGAGGGTGTCCCTCCATCTTGTAGGTTTTTGTCTTCAGCAATAAAGCCTTGAGCATCGTGACTCCATCTTTAAAAAACATTCCCAATATGTGTAAAATAATAAGGTAGGGAAGTATGGCTGCTGAGACTATATATATATATTTTTTGCACACTGAAGGATAATGGCACTTAATTAAAAAAAATCTAAATATAGTCTATCAAATCTCTTTCTAGACTTCATATCACCTGTGTGGTAACTGGGAAAGTAGCATCAGTGTAGAGTATAATTACATCATGTTTTGAACCTAAGAAATACTGTAAATAAAGACCATTTACCACCACTGCTTTTCTGGATCGTAATGTTACAGGCTATTATGGAGCTTAATAGTAAGAGGAAGTTGCTGAGAAAAGACTATAGAATATTTCCAAATCTACTTTCATATAATTTCAGTACTTCACAGGAGACAGTACAATGTATATAACTAACATGGAAAATATCTGTGAATAAAGGAAAAAGCTGGAAGAAATTCTTATGCCTTTTTATTTTAGTAAAGAATCCAGCTGTGATCCAACATTTAATATAATTAACACTACTAAAATTAGTATGAACCTGGGTTACAACAGAGGAGCAAGTTGCTATCGGTTATTAGAGAAACTAAAGATGTTTTCAAACCAGTTCATTCTCTAGGTAAAGCAGAGAACTGGTTTTACCTAGAGGAGAAACAATCTCAGAGCAATTATTGATTATCTTTGAACCTGCAGAGGATAGACATGAAAACAAAAATAAGCCTAAAACCCCCCAGCCCAAAAATAATTAGACAAATAATGTTTATGCAGCTAAATGTTAACAGTAACTAAAATTAATATCCCACATGAATTACAGAAAATTAGGGCCCAACTTTTGTCTACAGACAGAAAAAAATCTCATGGATGTGGAAGAATTTATCAGTTATCTTGACTTCAGTCTAGATTTTAACACATGGGTATAATGAGTGTTCATATTCAGTGTGCAAACAATGAAAAATTAAGAGGGACTGCGACACTTTGAATGAAAATATTAAAGTGCAAATTAATCTTGCCACTCTGAAAAATTATCTAAAAACACAGAATTCAGTAAGGACAAATAGAAAATTCTAACTGTAGGAATAGCCACCTGTACAAATCCAGGATGCCAGATGACTGAACAACATTCTAAGTGGAATGAGCAAACAACATCATGCCACTAGGAATGCAGCTATTGTTACACTTATGCCTGAATGTTTATTTACAAGATGTGTAGAGCATCATAACTCTACCTGGCAGTGAGTACTGGACTACTGTGGTCAGCTTTCGGACACTTACAGACCAAGAAGAATTTGAATCAATTGGAAAGACTCCAGAAAAAAAAGAATAATTAGAGATATATTAGGAAATGCAATCAATGAGTAGTAACTTTCTCAATCTAGAGAAATAAATGTAGAAGAGCTAAAATTTGTGAAAGAGATATTGTGTGTGGGAGAATAAATTGCAGAGAATTTCAAGCGAATTTTAGGTATAGTCCCAAGAAAATTCTTCCTGGTGGTTGGGGCAGCGAAGTAGTAGGGAAACCTTGAAATCCCAATAAAGAGGGACTTTTTTAAAAAAAACATAACAACCAAGCATCTATTAATGAGAGTACTGATGCTGAATCACAACGTTTCCTTAGACCTTGGTTTTTTTTTTATAGCAAGTTTACTGATCACCAGTGAACAAGTTCAGTTTAATGACAAATATGACACCAACAAGGCAATTAATTTGTCTTACCTAGCTTGCAAAATAATGAATAAATTTTTGCCCTTATGTTCTCTGAAATTTCCATGATGGCAAAACTGGGACAGCTGGCAGGCACTGGTATGACCTTTTGCTGTTTCTGGAAGCTGGTAGCAAGAGGTCTCTTAGTGTCTAATAATATAAAAGCACAAAATCAGAGTAGAAGAATGAAGAGGTAGTATGTTACCAAACTTGGAGAGGAAATCCATCTTACTTTGTGGACACCAAAATTTTTATTGTTTAGCCAAGAGTTTGAACATAATTTGGGTCAGGAAATTTTAATTAGCATGACTAAAAATTTGTGAGAACAGCACTCACTTCTATTTACAACATATGACAAAACACATTGCCTTTTGTAGAAGAAATGAAACAGTTCAACTGCCCAGCATTAGAAAAGCTGGTCATGGTTCTGTTCAATACTTGGTTCATTCCCAGCTGAGGTAGAAAATGCCATATAGTGGCCAAAATGCAATGAAAATTATTGAATAAATAAAATGAAATAAAAATAAATCAAATGGAAGATATTTTAGGTTTGGCAAGAATTATAGGATAAAGCCATAAATGCTGTTATTTACTGCCATCAGAATTGAGACTAAAAAAGCAAATAATGTCATTATTTTACTGTATTTCTCACAGTTCCACATGCATCATAAAACTCACCAATAATCTTTCCATACTGATCACGTTTGACTCCCAAATCCAACTCCTCCTGTCTCCATAACTGTATTAGAAGGTGGGCTGCTGTTTGATCTCTCTTCCCTCGCCAGACACGCATGTGCAAAGTGGTTTTAGGGTTGTCAGAAAATTCAACCAAGATTCCAAGAATTATATTGCACAGGTTCTGTTCCTTTGACTTGGTCAAGGAAAAAGTAAAGAAAGTTGTAAACTGTTCAAAACACAGCAATGTCTACTTTCTGAGAGATTGTGTATTATGTATTATTGTGTATTACAGTATCAAGTAACTGCAAGCTTTCTATCACTAGTACTTGCACAAAATCCTTGTATAAACTTGCAAATCTTTAAAGTTTCTGGAATCCTGCTATGCAAAGATCCATAAATCCTGGAACATGAGGGACATGAGTGTAGGATCATTTAAGGTGCATTCCTGTGCGTAGAATTACACAGTACATGGCTCCAGGATCACATGCTGGAGAATACACTGCAACCAAGGTTTATTGTTGTAAGAAACAGACTCTGAAGGCAGAGGCTGAGCAGTACCACACAGCACATCTTCTGTTTTGTGGCCAGATCTTTTGGCAGCAGCTGAGAGGAGGCAAGGGCTTCCAACTGAAAGAGGGTCAGTTTAGATTAAATATTGGGAAAAAATTCCTTATTTTGAGGCTGATGAGGGACTGGAACAGCTTGCTCAGAGAAGCTGTGGATGTCCCAAGCCTGAAGGCTGGACAGGACAGGCTGTGGCTTTGGGCAACATGATCTAGTGGAATGTGGCCCTGCACATGGTCAGGGGAGCTGGAACTGGATGATGTTTAAGGCCCTATTCCAACCCAGGCCATTCCATGATTCTGTTATTCTGAGGGTCTGCAGCCTCGCACTGCAAGAACATCAGGGCTGACAGAACAACCAGTGTGAATAAGGAGTGAATGAACCAAGGAAGATGTGTTTTTACTTCAAAAGAAGTGAAATGTCTGTGCCAGCTCTAGGTCCAAGATCCACAGAAGCAGCTCTACACACAAGATATATGTACAAAGTAACTTCAAACATAAAAAATGTTTAAACCATCAAGTGCTCTTACTAGCTTAAATATGAAGAACTGAAGTGCTTTTCTAAAGAGAGATGTCATCCAAACTAAGAGCATAGTTTGGGTTTTCTTGTCAAAATTGTATATATAAATTTTGTTAAATTAAAAACTCCCTCTGTCAAATATGTATTAAAAAAAAAAAGAAAAAAGATACAGGGAAAATCTATCTGATAATTTCTGAGCAGATATCTGGGTCTGTCTCGGGGAATTAAATATACTGGGTTTTTTTTGTTTGTTCGTTTTTTTGTTTTGTTTTGTTTGTTTTTTGTTGGTTTTGGTGGGATTTTTTGTTTGTTTGTTTGGGCTTTTTCTTTTAGTATTATACCAGTCTTAGGAGAAACTGCAACAAAAATTATGCAGCTTCCCATGTTGTTTTCCTACTATTTCATTCTACAAAACCAGTAATAAAAATACCTACTGCCAACAAATCCAGAAGGAGGAAAATGCCTTGTTTTTCAATAAAACAGTCCTCTGCAACGGAACATCCAATGACACAGGACCTTAAACAGAAATAATTTCACTTATGTAGAAACACTTTTATGCTTCTGAACATTCTACAATCATCTCATTTATCTTGCTGAATTGCATACCATTTGGTATGCAATATGCAATATAAATGTTTCATACCTTCAGGGAGCAGAAAAATCATGTTTCACGTGCCTTTTCATTTACACCTGTAACTAAATATACCCTGCTAGACTGCTCTTTCTTCTCCTGCAGGTGGCATACCATCCTTTAAGCAGCCTAAGAAATTTGGCAGGCTCTCAATGAATTGGAGTATGTATTTGAACTGAAACTAACTCAGTAAATATGTTTAAAATTTAACCAGGTCATGTCCCTAATCTGATTTATTGTAGGGCTGTGTGGATATTTCTGCCAGCAAAATCAAAGGAGTGAGTCAAGCAAGACATTTTTTGGCAACAGTTTGCTTTTCTCAGATTAAAATTATCATAAAGCCAGCATTCATGTTGCTGTTGCTTCTTTATTTCCTCTCCTATGGTCATTAACAGAGAAACCAAAGAAATCTCCTGCATTAGTATTTCTCCCAGCAAACGTATTCGAGTTTTAATGTATTTATCAACCTCTGGCTTAAAACAAATTAAATTTTTGTTTTCCTCCTATGTATTGTTAATCCTTAAAATATTTCTAGCCCAATATAGCCAGTTTACAAACAATTCTTATGCTTACACTTTTTTTTTTGCTAATATTGGTCTATTCTTGCCTGCTGTTTACTTCTCTGAAGTTATTTACACACTCTAACAACATGCCTCTCTTAGAAAGTCTTGAGTAACTCTGCATGTCAGAAGGTCACTTTGTGTGGGGAGAGAGGTTGTCACACTGAATCCATATTTTGAAAATCTTACATGCAGTATATTCCATTTATTTTGCATTGTTTTTAATTAGTCAAACTTTATGGAAGATTTTTATACATTATAAACAGAAGAAAGGCCTATGTGTGCAGAGAAAGGTCATGGCATTGCAGACCTAACAAATACAAGACTTGACATTTTTCCGAGTTACTGCTACTAAAGTATTTCACTAACCACAAGCAGTCGAGGGCACTGAGGAGAAGACAATTGTAGCCTAATCCAATACATAACTTCCTTGGATCCATCTTAAAGAATGGGATAAGTCTATCAATTCCTTCACAGCTGAAGAGTTCCTGTTGAAATGTTAATTAAAGCAATGTTTCTTAATCAATATTTACTAAATTTAAACATGTAAGAAAATACAATGGGAAACGTAAATGTTTGTATCGTAATAAATTTGGTCCACTTGTTAGAGCAGGATATACAGATAGGAAAAAAGATTTTCAGTTTTTTCAAAGTGCTAATTCATTCCTTAACATACTTTCATATATCAATTCCAAAATAATGTAAATTAATCAAATAGGTTCAACACTTGCTAGTGGATTTCTGAGTGTTTTTGTATTTTAGCTGTGTCAAGAAACATGAGTTGTTAACAATGAATTACAATTGACACCTGTTTTTCAATTAAAACACAAAAAAGCAGTGTCCCTTAAAAAAAATATAGTATGTTTTGACATTTTCTGCACAGTAGAAGATGGAAATATACGTACCTTTCTGTGGACATCATTTTCACAGAGAACAGACAAAATAAATAATATGTCAGCTTGGATTTCCAGTAGAACGGTACCTTCTTTTTCTTTAGATTTGTCTGCTGCATACTTTAAGATGTCTGTAAATGTATATATTTTATATATATGAATGCCCCTATATACAAGTCAAAATTCTATTACAGATGCTGCTTTTTAAAAAACTCAAATTTACATGAAAGGATTTTTAAAATAAGTTCAGTTTTATCTCCTGTGTTTTAATAATAGCTTCCAGAAGTGCAGCACTCTGATGTTGCAGTTTCACAGCCTTTACTCTTGGTGACAGAGTTAATGACAGCAGCTTGCACTGACTTCTCCCTTGTTCAGACTCTGTGCTGCCCCTTATATTGTGCCAGTGCAAGGAATTCAGGAAACAGATATGAGTTAAAGAACTCTTAGAAAAAGACAACAAACTGGATGGTTCATGCTACTCTGCAGCTTCACAAATGTTTAAACTGACAGTGGAAATGTGGGAAAGACATGAAATCCCACCATTGCTGAGCAAATCAGCCTTGGAACCACTATGTCAAGAGAGCATTCATACACGAAACTCCCCCAGAGTAAGAAAAATTACTTAATTCTGATATGTAAGGTACAGTATTAATTTTGATTTCACTAAAAGCTGTAGTTTCCACAGAGTTTTCACTGGAGTTGAACTGAGGCTATAAAATACTTCATTTCCAGGCTTTTTATTAGAACATACTCTTTGAATTCCAAAGCATCTTTCCTCTTATGTTTCCCCCAGAGTACTGAAAACTTTCTGTTATTGCAATGAAAAAACTTAATCCAGTTTGTTTTGTAACTTAAACCAAAGTTAAATAGTAGGTATGTGTTGCTGAACAAGAAATGCTCTAAAATTGAAGGAGCAGTGATTAAGCAGTTTTATTCTGCTTTTTTTCTTCGCATTGTTCACATAAAGGTACCTCGTTATTAGCTTTACTCTGCACTAAAGAGGAGTTGTGGAAAGCAACACCATGATAGACCTAGATGGAAAAATACTCATGGGCTGAAGTTTCTGGGGACTGCCACATTGAAAACAAGATCTACATAAAGCAAGAAGGGGCAGCTTTCGCTCTGAAATTAAACATCTAGACTTTTAAAACTGTCTGTTTTGCTTAACTCATTCAATGTGTATTGAAATGGAAAAAAAAATAACATTGAATCAGTTACATTTTGGATTAATTGGTAGAGATTTCTCTTTAGTTTTTCAGCAGTCAAAGGAATGACACAACAAAAGCACAGCACACAGAAACACATGAACATTCTTAGTGTCAACAAAAATGTGCTAATTAAAGAACAGTGACACAACTTGTGCTTTACCCAGTAGCTGGCTAATTGCTCCCTGGTCATACAAATCAGTGCTCACAGCATCATCATAAAGGGCCACAACAGATCTCAGCACTCGGATGCTGTAGCGCATTTGTGCAAGTTTGTTGCCACGACCATCTGTTCCATGGAAACTGTTACCTTGACCATAGAAATGATCTGTGGAGCAATCACAAGGAATACTCGCTTTGGCAGACAATCTATGTCCAGAATAATGTGCTGGAAAAATAAAGACAAAAACAAAACAAAACAAACAAACATCCCAACCAACCAAACAAAAAAACCCCCAAACCAAACCACAAAAACATCCAACCACAAAAACCCACAAAAAACCAAACCAAAAAAACAACAAAAAAACCCACAAACCCTCAAAACACAACAATAAAAACCCCCAAACCCTGTTGAAGTTAGAAATTACTCTGTTTAAAACCATCCAGTAATAAGCCTTTCTGTGTAGGACTATACTGTTTAGATGCATAAGAAAGGTAATATTTTAGTGAACATTTAAATTATTATACATTTTTTAACCTTACTAGGTTCATGAGCAGTTTTACAAACTCAAAACTTGTTATGTTTAGCATGACATTTAATATCAACCTTTTGATCTCGGTTCAACCTAAATTAAAATTTCTTCCTAGGAAGACATACCAATTTTATGATGAAAAATTTTATGACAAAAATTTCTATCCTTAGAAATCTGGTCAACAAAACTGAGTGTGCTTAGTTATCTTTCTGCTTAGCCCACACTCTTATCTGCTGCCCAGAAGCCAGCTTTAGTCTGGAACCTGTCTCATTATGTACAACTCTGAGTTAATGCGAACTCTCTATTGGCAGGAATTACTGCTTGGTCTTCTTGCCACAAGGGGAGGGCCTGGGTCACTTAAAAAACAGACAATAGATGTGTTTGTCTGAAGGAATATCAATATAGTGGAACACAGGGAAAGTAGCACCAGCTTATAATTCAGTAGGGAAAAAAAAGGATCATTAATTGTTTTTTGGAAACACTTGTTTCCCAGGTGGCCTATGAAAAAGAATTATTCTGATGTCAGGAGTTTTACATTTTCCTTTCCTGTCAAAGAAAGTAGGTTCAGTTGAACTTTGAAGTTGTTTTGAGGTTACCTGTGTGTGAAAGCCATGAGTACCCACTGACCTTGGCCTAGACACCATTCTAGAAACACAAGGAGAAGAGTATTCGCTCGGCAGGACAAATATTTATCTACTAACACAGGAGCCACTGAAGCTAAAACAGCAATTGCATGAAGCTGTAATTCTTCATATTGGGAAGCAGACCAGTCATGAAATCCAGGCTTTTCATTTTTTTTTACATAATAAAGCAAAGCTGGCATCACATGATTTTCACTGAGGAGCTGCAGAGTCCAGACAAAGAAAAAGAGAGACAGTTTACAGGTTTCACATGCAAATAAGAAAAATCTAGAGGATGATTCAATTTTATCTGTCCTACACTAACAAAATTATTTTTTAATTGAGAAACTGTGTCATAAACACTACAAGTACAGGCAAACTCTTTTTATATTCTGTAGCTTTACCACAGATTGTGGTTTGCTAAATTTTATTATGTTCTTGGGGTGTATTTCAATAATGCTCTGCAGTCACTTGTCAGCAATTTTCCTAACATGGTTTAACTTTGCAACTTTCTGAAATAGAAATTGTATGCTGCTCTCCAGGAGCAGGACTTGGTCTGAAGCTATGTATGAATTCTTGATTTGGAGAACAGATAATTTCAGTGTACTGGACTATGTACAGATGGACAGATAAGTAATATTCTTGTGAATTTTGTCTTCTTTTTTATCATTATTATTATTATTATTATTTCTGTTCTGTTAGAACTTACCTGTGCAGCAGACGGATCTTTAGATAAAATTCCTATTATATTAAATAGTAACTTCTTCATCTCAAAATCCTCATATGAGTAAGTAAGTTTAAAACCTTTTACGAAGGGATTGGGAAGTTTAACTATGAAGGAAATGGTAGATAAATTACAAAAAAATCATAATTAAAAGCAAAAATTGTGTAATTATGCAGTATGGAGTATCTTACCTTCAGTAAATGTTGCAAGTACTATTAAGAGCCTTGCAAATCCACTTTCCTAATGGGCATTCAAAAAACATACATTAATTAAATTAAATTGGAGTGAAGTTAACACTTATGATTTAATATTGGTTTGACGTTTTTCTTCAGAACACAGAATTTAATGTATCCTATGGCAGAATAAACAGAATTTTATCAAAGAAGAGAACAACCATTTGGACATTATACAACAATAACTAACTGCAGTCCTAAGGGTACAATTAGTTAAACCCCTGTTTCATTCAGTACAAGCCTGAACTTCTGTGGGGAAGTCCCAAACACATGTATTCACTACTATAATCTAACACAATGAAACCATATTCTCAGTGCTCTTAGAGCAGTGTTTTTTAAAATGCATTTGGTCACATTCTACATCAGGGTCATCAGTACATATAATTTTGTGGCATCTGTTGTGCATACCAGTGCACTTCGAGTTCATTGCATTTACAAGTAACATGTGAAAACTGCATGTATGGGCAAAAATTTACCAGTATCACATATGAAAAGCCAAGAAAATAAAATCTTGTAAATCACAGCTCCTAGAGAGCTAACAGAAGGAAAAAAATGTCTAATATAACTAGGGATAGGACCAAAGCGAGGAGGTGTCTATGCAGCACATTAGAGGCAAAAGAGTTTTGTTTCTGAGGTAAGCAATTAGCAAACCGTTTTGTTCTAACACAGAGATAATAATTAATATAATTATGAAGTTTATGTATATTTTACAGTTTGATTGTGATGAGAAAACTTTTCCTTTTCGAAGGCTCAGATTCTTGTGCTGATTTGTGAACTATGTAAAATACAAGACAGACTTTTCTGAAGTTGCTTGGATAGTATATTAAGAAGGGAATATTCTGAAGCAAATTGCTCTAGTATGATCTATAAGGCAGGATTGAATGCTAATGTTTTTTCTACCTGACATTTATACCTTGTAAAATCTCTAGGCAGGCTGAGGGTAAAGAACCTAAATTCAAGAATTTTAATATTTTCTTTGTGTAGAAACACTTATTCCTCCTTTTAGTATAAGGAATTAAAAATACATATCTAGTTTACTTATCTTGTAGGAATAAAATGTCCTGTTTCTACAGCCATATAAACAATTTGAATGTTTTAGATATCCAATATGTTCCTGCAATAGTATAACAGACATTTCATGCTAGTTGGTGTTAAATGAAAAGCTTGAATGAAAAGTCTGTAATCTTCATTTAGTAACACAGCCAATTGGAAAACTTCTGAAGACAAAAATAACATATTCCTGAACAGACAATAGATCTAGAGGGATCTGATTTCTTAATTATTCAGTATGTATGTCATAACTTCATTTGAATTTGTAAATCTCAAGTGTAAAACAAGAGACTAAAGCAATATAAATGTCTATAAAAAGTTAATTTCTCTGCAGTTTTCTCATTAAAATTCTGGAATATTACAAAAGAATGAGTCATCTACATTTCAGGCAAGTCATGGTACTGCATTATGTGACTTGTCTTTAGAAGAATTTATGTGCCTCTTATTAACTGGATCTAAGTAATTATTTCCTCAGAATCTTACTTCAAGCTCCTGAGCTGATTTTTGGACACCCTTCTTGTTCCAAGTTATGAGGCACACATTGAATTTGGGTCATCTGAATATAGCCTACATCTTGAAACAACAAATGAGATTTAGTGCAAAACTCATTATAGGAGAGTGGCACATTCAAGAGTCCATACAAGAATTAATGTTAAATTTTGCACATAAATAATGTTAATGTGATTTTCTAAGTATTAAGTAAGGTTGATTCTAGTATTCTGGGCTAATGACCTAAAGATTTTAAGTCTCTTTGAGGTAAAGACAGTTGCAGAATGAAAAAATGCTTTCTTGCTCAGCAAATCCAAGAAAGAAAAAAGCACTGGAGACACAGTACAAAAAAAAACTACAACTGTAATGGGGAAGAATACCAAGCCTATAAAAGCTAAAGAGAAGTTATCAGTCTCTGGAATACAACTCTAAATACTTACAATCATATGTACTGCAGGTTTTTTAGCTAGTAATGTGGCAATCACCAAGAGGTCATTCCGTAGCTGATAATCACAGTGCCGGAAGCCACATGTGAGGAGGGCTGCAAATACTTCTTTCAAAGCACTTAAAGGAAAATTAAATGTGTTTTATTTACCTTTTCCTTTGGTATTTTAATGCTGGACAGCTCTACGTATATGAATCCTCATTCAGCATCATACTTTTCAAAGCCTTAGGGTTTAACTGCAAGTAACATACTTAAAACTTTATTATGAAGTGGTTTCTTTTGGGTATCACTAGATTTCCAATGTATTCATAGATGCAAGATGCATGTATTAAAAATTGCATCTTCCACTGTTTGTGTTATAATTAATTAATTAATACAAAGACACAGTATTTACTCAAATGTGGAACTGGACATTGCTAAATGATTACTGAGAAGAAATAGTCTAATCTTAAATAGGTAAAACAGTCTAAGGAAGAACATGTTATTTACTCCAGCAGAGAATCTAGAAATAAACCTTGTATATAATGGCATAGAAATTCCTTGTAATTTTAGAACATCAGCACTTCAACAGTGAAGGAATACTGGCCTGTTGAGCCTAATGGAGCTTGAAAATTCTGCAATTAACTCTTTTACAGTACAAAGCAATAGATAGAGCTATTCCTCCTGCACTGTGCAGGAAGCACCTTGTTCTTGCCCTGTAACAGCAACAACTGTGTTAATACTGAAAACTTAATGAGGATGTAATCAGAGACCCATTTGCATTTCTCTCAGTTAATTTCCAACAAAATGCTACACAATAGAATGCTTTAGATGTCTCCAAAATTATAAAATTAATTCATAAAATGCTCCTTGTACTTACTGCACACATTCCAAGCTCCTGAGTTGATTAGTAACTTCTTCTTTTGACGTGCTTTCTAGCAGGTTCCATAGGATATCTGAGGAACGGAACACTAGCTGTCCTGAAGGATCAGCACCATTTAGATACAAACAAAGCCTGCTGGCTGCTTGGGTCTTCACCATTTGTTCACAACTTACTCCTGAAATTATGCAAATCAGAGTAATTAATTCTCTATAGGCCAATAATTGTTTCAGGCATGTTCACAGAACAAATGATCTGAGATCAGTGGTAATGAGATTATTGAAAGAACAGTTTGTACTAACCAGAGGTGGAAAGATGCTGGAGAGCTTTAAGTACCCACAACTTCTCAGTAAGTTGATTTTCAACTAATGGTAGTGACAAAACAAGAGCTTCTACTAATCCTCCTTCAGCCATCTGGATTTTATAGTTTGCATTTGTTGGCTGGTGACCTGCACATACAATAGCTTTAGTTATAATGCAGTAAATACTCAGAATTCTGATTACTTCATAAAATGTTCATCCTTTCTCAATAAAGGATTGAAAATCAAGTATCATATTTCAAGCAGTTAAGAAAAGCAATCCAATACACAAGAGCTGCTTTTCTTATATCTGAATAGTGCCTAAAATATACCAAACAGACTCACCCTCTAGCATATTTCAATGCTATAGAAACAAATTAATTGCTTCTTAGAATTTAGACAATGAAAGCAAAAGCAGGGCTATAGAAGTGAAAAACTTTCTTCAGTCATCAGTAAGTTGCTAGTGCACGACCTGCATATGTTTTACATATATGCTTAGAGATGAAGTATTTGACTTAAAAAAAATCTGACGGAAACACATTTTTCATTTCAAGATAACATATCTTATTTTCTAAATTGGAAGAAGAAGAACAAAATTGCTCAAGAACATTCACTTATCCTGATGGAATTATTTACAGATAAAGAACTAAATGCACATAAAGCTAATTGCAGGATTTGAGTCTTGTTTGTAAGGTAAAAACAGATGCTTTCCTGTTTCTAGAATTTTGAAAGGGCTGTAGTAGCAGAAGCTTCCTTAGGCCTCCTAAAATAAATGAAAACTTGTAAAAGGGAACAGGACTAGTGCCACACTGAAGGAACACAGCAGAGGAGCACACTGTCATCAAGCATGCTCTTTCACCTGCACTCTTGAGCCACACTGTGGCAATATTCACTTGAGGCTGGCTGCCTATAAATCCAGTGCTGTCTCAGAGCACATGATGCTGTGCCCCTCTAGGAGGGGATCCATGATTGACTTCACCTAACAACAATCTCTGGCACCATCACAAGAGTCAAAGGAATTATATAATAGTGGATTCTGATCATGCCCGAGTTTGTGCATAGCCTCGTTCTGCAGAGACAAGTCATACGATTTATTCAAACTATACTCAAACGTGTCCACATAATATGACTTCAATCAAATTTAGATGGGTGCAGATCTATCCCTCACAACACAAGTGAAACCAGAGCTGCTGCTCTCCAGACTTCATATAAAAAGCTACATATAAAAACTACATTTCCCTTCTTATAATTCTCATCCTAACTGCTTTTTTTCCCCCTCCATTACCCACATTTCAGAGATCTTGTATCACTTCACATTTTCTGGATACTATTTAATGCTAATTCCTTAAGTGTAACAATTAATTCCTTGTATACTGATGAACTTATTTCAGATTTAGAATATGCACCTCTATAAAAACATGTTAATTGCAAATTTGCCAATGTTATATATTTAATGTATGAGATACACTAACCATAGTTATAAAGAAAAATTAATCAATAGCTCATTAAAAGAGGCATTTCAAAGTAGTTGAGATCACGAAAAAATAAAAAATACTGTGCTTTACCTGGAAGTAGTTTTCCTGGTAGCTCCGTATTATAAAAGTTAACAATACTCTTACAGATTTGTATTTTAACTTGAGAGCTTGGCACTCTCATCAAGTAACCTGTCAGAAAGAAATAAATGTAATTAACAGATTATAATTTTTTAGAAAGTATTCTTAACACAGTATTCTTCTTTTTACAGCACTTAGTACTACCTTCGGTCATATCCCCTACAAATCTGTCATTTTATGCAGTTTCATTATAAAATATTCAAGAGACAGACTTCCACACTGGAGAGGACAAAGGCGTCTTAGAGGAGTGGCATAACTTTAATCAAAAAGTTACCTTCTCTGCTTTATGGCTACAGACACTCATAAGACACTGCTATGTTATAATGCTACAATGTTACTCCTGAAGTTGCGGAGTTCTGAGGAAAGCCACTAAGCTACTACACTAAGCTGTTGTCATCACTATCATGTCATTAGAAACTCTTCTTTTAAGCAGATATGATATGAAATAAAGGGAGCATACAAGCAGGAAGGATATATGTTCCTTGCATCCCAGCTTTCAGTGTTTACAGTGATACCTCCATTTCTCATAGCAAAATTAAATTAAACAGGCTATATACAAATTTACTTCTTACTCTGTACTGATAATGTTTTCTCATGTAGCTTTTGACATTTGCAAATAGGTAATTCTGCTAGCTAATCTTCAGGTTAGCTGCAGAGCAAAGTAAAAATTATTTTTAATACTAAAAAGCACAGAGGATTGAATGAATAATTTAAAGAAATTACCCATGTTTACTAAGGAGTAACAATAAATTAAAATCATGCTAATAATACAGTTGATTTTATTGTGGCATAATAATAATTTTATTGTGGCTTATCAGATTACACTCACCCAGTTGTGCAATGGACTGTGCAACTTCAGCGGAATAATTTACTTCATCAGACGATTTCTTTTTTTGAAATGGCAACCTGCAAAATGAAATTTAAAAATATTACAACTATGTTTTAATCAAGTCACCAGGAAAGTTCAGTAGCTCTTCTCTTCTTCCTTGATAATTTTTTCAGATTAGGACACCTGTTCCTGGATGAACGCATTCCTTGCAATGCTGATTCTACATTGAGAGCTTCACAATCTGCAGTTACATGTTGGCAATTAGTGATAAATGTTCATAGATAATATTTTCATAATTCAAATATGATGCAACTAGACATGCTGAACAAAAAAATGTAATTTAAATGCATAAGACTAAATCTAACAACCTAGACACTATCTGGCTATTACAGAGCTAGGCTACGTACAGACATGTGCAGAGGTGGAAAAAAGGCATCATATCTGTGGGCAAGACCTCTTGAAATGGATAAAAGTAAACCAAATAAACTGACTCCAAATAGTACAATAAATTTATTTTTAAATACAGGATATTAATAAATACTCAATAACATATTCAAAATACTCAAGATATGACATAAACATACATTTAGCATGTAAGTGCTAAAAACTGTCTAACAGTAAACATTACAATATTATGCTAAGGTGTCTGCAGTAAATACTGTAGAAGCAGCTTTCTGGTATGTTTACCTCTGTAAACATTGCCAAAGAAAAATAAAGGAGAGAGCAAACAATGGAAGAAATGTTGCAGGAGGCAGGGGTAGGAGAAACAAAACATACTGAAAAAAAAAAAAAGTGGGAAGAAGACAGGTAAACAGAAGCAGTTACAAAAGAGTGGAATATTTTACTGGAGAAATTCATGTATCTGAAACTGAATTCTAAAGAAAACAGCCCCTGCCGCTGGTTAAAGGCTTCTCTGTCATATGAAGTAGCAGTGAATTGTGGTGGTATTTCCATAGTACAGAAATTAAAGCAAAACCCAAGGGTGCATTTTTCCAAAATATATTCATTGCAGAAACCACAATTAGTGCTGAACTGCTCTAAAAGAGGAAAAGTTGCACAGCCACATTTTATCGACTTTATACACTCATTCTCAGTTTTGTCATGCTTCTAGCAAATACCAAAGAAAATTAAACTCCATGATGTACCTCCTCATTCCCCACTGTGTGGCAGCAAAGAAAAGCAGTACAACTGAGGGTGCTCAGGGAAATAAAAGATTCAGCTGAGAAGTTCTGTGTTTATTAAACCTAACAGCAGAGTAAAAAACCTAACAGCTATGTAAAAATGTATCTGAATATCTGTTTTACTATGCCACTAGTTTTCTATCTGGTGGGGATTTTTTTGTTTTTTTTTTTCTTCCATATTCTCCTCAAATGAAATTAAATACAGGAGTAACTGTAGCTACAAGCATACCATAAATAACTTTACTGAATTATTGAGGAGAAGAAAACTACTGACAAGTGTGGACAACACCTAAATCTATTCTACAGATTACTTAAAATGCAGCATGACAACAAAGATGCCCAAAAGTTCATGCAATACATTTTAAAAGTAAATATAAATCCTAAAGCCCGTTGAGGCTCATTCTCTTCTGTAATATGGCTCATCATTATACAGTGCTTACCTTCAAGTATTAGAGTGTCCTTGTGTTACCCTAAGTTTTTAAACTCACTAAAGAGCTTGTCTGAAACAGCAAAACACACCTCAGTACCACTTAGCTGCTGAATCTTTTGAGGCCAGCAATCCCAGATTGGCTTAGGCAATAAGAGACCTTGGGGAACCTTGCTTCCAAGCAAGCTGGGGCCAAGTACAACACGGTTTTGAATTATGTAACATGTAAATACACAGATATGGAACTGTTAAAATCGGATGCTCATTCATGTCACCAGAAACTGGACACAAGTGCAAGACAGCTGATGAGAAGGAAGGATGATACAATGGATACCTTGCAGATACAGGTGCTTTGTAGATAAATGCTGTATGGATCTGTCAGTTGCCTTAGAAAATTTATAAACTTGTTTATAAGCAGTATTTAAAAGAAGAGCCAAGGTACTTACCCAAACAATTTAATAAGTTCACATAAAGGCTCAATGAAAGCTTCTTGTTCATTCACTTTTTCTGCACACAGGTTAAGAATTTCAGTAATTTGTGCTACATTCTTAATGGGCTTTTAATGTGAAATTAAGGAAATCAGATCATCTTTACCACTATGTATCAGAAGAAAAAGCTGAAAACTGTGCTCATCACACTTCAAAGAAACAAGCAAGAAAAAAATAAGACCAATGTTTACAAAGTTAGGTATTTAAAAGATGTATGCAAGTCAATACTTAGGCTTTTTGAAGCAGCCTTACTTTACATAAGTACAACTTTTGCAAATCTGATTTAGGTGTCTTCTCAGCTGAACTCACTGGAAGCTCAGCACTAAATTTCTAAAAATGGAGGATGAAAAGTTTTTACATCACAGTGTCAGATTTACCTCTCTAATTTCTGAGAGAGCCTTGTGATACTTAAATTGTTTCCCAAGTGACTAACTGAAAATCGAAAATCTGGACCCAAATATGTTTTGAGATTAATTTAGGATAGAGGCACAAAATCAAAACTGAACAGAGAATTGAGACTGAGAAGTTACTACCAATCCACTAACTCACAGACACTGCCTTTAATTACACAACTCAGTTATAATGTGATGCCTTAAATCACTGTGCAATTTTCTGAACTGTATGAAATTAATCACATTTTTCCACAAGCCAACGCCTTCCTTTGTACTACTTATTATTGGAATCTTTCGTTTTGTACTGTAAATATGAAAAAAAGATTCACATAAATTAGTCTGACTTCATTTTTCTTTAAAATGTCTTCTTACCTTACTGAAATTCATTTTATCTTGCTATTTTATCTGCTGTTTCTTAAGTAGTGACAACTATTATGCTTTTCTATTCTGACTTTAAAGTACACCAGATACATTTTGGATGCTTTCAGCCACTGTACAGGTGAGAAACCTGTATAGAATTTTGGGACAAATGAATCTAATATCCAAGAATCTTGCCAACCTACCAACCTTGTCTGTGTGCACACAAAGAGGCCAGTGATGAGAATTTATATGACCATTCCTGTTCTCCATGTGGAAGCACCATACAGCATCAAATACTCTGCTGAAAAGTCAGACTATTACCATACATAAAACACCATGACTTCAGAATTCTAGAGTGGCAAAAAGGATACAAGTCCATTTTCAAAATTCTTGACTACCTTCTTGAGAATTTTCAGCTTCTCTTTTTCCAAATCTTTCTTAAGTAAAAGAATGAAAAGCAGGTTTTAAATTGCAGTTTGCCCTAGAACCTTAAATGATTATGTTTATCTCCTTTTAAGTTTAATGAAAGTGGAAACCAGATTTAAAAGTTTATAAGACATAATGAAATTCTCAAAGTGCTTTGAAGCAGGATTAACTCCATGATGAAGCCTCCTTTCCAAGTATGAAGCCTGTTCTCTTGCAACTGAAGAGGCTTTCAAAAACTCCTGTTGAAACGTGTGGACTCTTCTCTTAAATTCTTTGTGATTGTTTGTAAAGCAACTAAGAAAACCAAATCTATGTCACAGACAACATAAATGTGTAAGCATGAAGATGTAAGTGCCTTAGAGTGCTCTGCAGCATTAGGAAACAGCCTTCAAATTCAAATCTGAAAACAACTGAAGTGAGGATATGTCAGGCTGTGTCAGCAGCGTGCAGTGCTCATTTCAGCTCTCCTGAGCACATGCAACTTGAGGCAGGCCAGGAAGTTGTTTCAAGAGTCTCGAAGCCCAGAATCCTATAGGCATTTTATCATGCATCTTATGCTCTCTACAGAAGCAGTAAGTAATATCATCTGGCACTTTTTTCTTCAGTCAGTAAGTTTATTCTATCAGCTCTGCATTAAAAAAGGGGAAGAGGGGAAGATACAACTACTTCTCTGTGGGCCATTATTTTAAAATGTGCGAGGTTTAATCAGGTCCTTGTTTAAGAGTATAAATTATCCATATTTTGGATCAAAATTATTTAATGATTTAGTGAATTCAATCTGCCAAATCATATTGTGGAAACTAAAAACCATCTGTGAAAGCCCATGAGATGATGCTTCTCCTGTGTGTGTAGGTTAGCTGTATTTATTCTTCAACCTTGACCTTTGTATTTTTCTCCATTTCAAATCACATCTCTGGAGAACTGTTAGCAGTTAACTTGGGCAATTACATAAATTCATGACATACTTTCAGTAAGGTTGTATATATATCTATTCCTCAGCTGTAGGTTTCAGTACTCTAAAACTCTCAAATATGCCAGAAATTCTGCATGTCTAGTTTTTGAATGCTCATAATTTTGTCTCTAAGTTCCTGTGTGATCTTCTTTTTCTCTCTCTATGTATATTTTTAATATAAACCGAACCCAAAAGTTGACACAACTTTTTTTCACAACAATGGTCACCTTTAGAAGCATTCAAATACCAGAAGAAATACTCATCTTTGTTCTCTGTAGTTCCAGACACCTGTAATATATATATGTATTATATATTTATAATTTATTTTATATATATATAATTTTTATTACATATATATTTTGTTTGATATTACATATATATATATATATATATGTGTGTAACAAATTTATGATATAATAAACCACCTGAGCCTATTCAGAGTGGGTGCTAAAGTAACTGTGTAAAGCATTTGTCAAAGCCCCATTAGTACCTGTGTAACTGAGATAGAGAGGTACAGTGCTACTTACTGAGCCCGAACCTTTGAGTAGTGTGATGACGCGATTCAAATCCTCTGATCTCAGCTGTGTGTCCTGAAAAAGCAACACTTTTAACCCCTTTTTTTTCCCCTTTAAATTTTGCTTTTAAGGTATTTAAAATGTGAAATAGCCGCGTTAAACCAACATGAATTTACTCAGAGATGGGTAAAGCCAGACCATGCGTGAAGCACACACCGGGGTTTGTTCTCATCCCGAGGAAGACGGCAGGGCGAGGCAGGGCGAGGCAGGGCGAGGCAGGGCGAGGCAGGGCGAGGCAGGGCGAGGCAGGGCGAGGCAGGGCGAGGCAGGGCGAGGCAGGGCGAGGCAGGGCGAGGCAGGGCGAGGCAGGGCGAGGCAGGGCGAGGCAGGGCGAGGCAGGGCGAGGCAGGGCGAGGCAGGGCGAGGCAGGGCGAGGCAG